AAAAAAGTGTGTGGCAATGTGTTAAAGTAATAATTTAGGGTCAAACCAAGGCCAGGTCCTCTTAGGCCCAAATTCCATCTTTTTTCCAAAGCTCCATCCTCATCTTTTGCTCCCTGAGATCTAGTTTTACAATAACAGCTTCCCAGCTGCTGGCAACCAGTATTCCTCCATGGCTAGACATCAGGTATGTGCCTTACAAGAAACCATGTGTTACTCAACAGTGTTAAGGACTAATTAATAATCAACAGACAACTATAGGGGTCAGGGAAGAACTGTGTTTCTGACATTTACATCCATCATGGGGTTTTTAGGGAGCTCTGGTGGCCTGGTGGTTAGGAGCTACGCTGCAATCCCAAAGCTGCAAACCCACCAGCTGCTCTGTAGGATGAAGCTGGACAATTTCCTCCTTGTGATTAAATTGCCTCTGAAAACTTGCTGCAGATCAACCATGGTTTGGTTTTGACCTGACACAATACCTCCACCACAAAAGGGGGCTTTCAGGGGATAAAACAATAATAAAGGTAAAGAGATGAGAACAGTCAGTGAGGAGCTCAAGGGACTAGTAAATTTAAAAAATTCTCCCCATTAATTCTAAGCCAGGGTTAAGGAAACACAATGGGGTTGCATTGATTCTGCCCCTTTAGTAACCATCCATCAGGTTTGAGGCTATAAATCTTAACAGAAAAAACCTGTCCATCTTTCTCCCCAGGAGCACCGGGTAAAGTCAAATAGCTAACTTCTTGGTTAACCACCAAACACTTTATGCACTACACCAATGGGCTGAGTCAGGGTAGTTGTTGTTATGGAGAACTGACCCACAGCTGACCCTCCAGTGGGGTTTGCAGAGGCAGTTATTATCACAGGAAGAGATTGCCCATCCTCCAGTGGAGCAGCTGGTGGTTTTGAACCGTGTGTCTTTGGGATTGTAGTGCAACTTCTTGCCACCAGACCACCAGAGTTAGGGAATCACTAGTTAAGGGGATGGATATCACTGAGACTGCAATGAGAAACTGTATGACGATGCCAGGTGAGAGAGGGGATGGAGGGGCAGGAGAGCATAGGTGTATTCCTACTCCCCCGATTTTTCAGATCCGCTTAAATTGGTCCTAATGTGTGAAGAGTAGAAAATGGTTAGGAACTATGAGGAAGTCAGGAATCAGTTGTCCACCTAGCAAGCCATGATCCCCCTACATGTCCTGAAGTTGTAAAATGTTCTTCTACTCATAGCTCATCATCTGACAAGCAAAGTCACATTTCTCCTTTATTTTTGCAAATCAGTAATAGATTTTTAAGGTATATGCACATAAACTTTAAAGAGGTCACAGGGTTCTGGCTATGGCAAGTCCCAAAGCCTGGATGCCTTTAAATGGAGCCCATTGTGCAGAGAACAGCAGCTACAGAGACTGCTAGCTCTAAATGATAATTAGTGGGAGCAAATGGATTTTTTGGAATTTTATTAAGAATTTAAAAACTTAAACATTTCAGAAAGGCCTATCTAAGGACACCTCAGACTTCCAACTTAAAATATAACAATACATTGCAAAGCAGCACCCTACAATTAGTAATTTACACTATGTAGAAATTTTACTCTTACATAGAAAATGGACATTTAGATTTAAAAATTTATTTTATAAAAACGTTGACTACTTCATCAACGCTTATGAATGCCATTTTGTAGACACAAACAAGATTATTCCATGTTCAAAAAAGAAGAACTGTCCCAAATGGTATTACTCCACATCCTGCAGGCAAATGCTCAGGCCCCATAGCTCACGACCCATTTGTAACTGTGTCTTCTTCCATTTCCTCTTCACCATCATCAGCGGGTCCTAAAAAAGAAATGCAAGTCATATCAATGTTAAAAAAGTTGTTTGCTGAATGTGTGAACGCTCCTCTGTGTGGCTTTCTGCATGTGAGGCCCTACACTAGGTACAAAGAAATCACAAAGAATTCTGTCTTCCAGACCTGACAGGTAGAGATGGCATTTTATAGATATTGGCAAAAATGGACACTTCTTTAAAAAGTCTCCAGACTGCTGTCACCCATCGTCATCACTCTTGAGAGGGCAAAAGTTCACCCTTTATGTTTTGTTCTTGAAACTATAGGCAAACAAATGAAAATAAGAGAGTTAAAACACTGCGGCAGCCACTGCATGCCAGAATTCCAGAACTTCACTGCCCCTGAAAATTAGGGAAATATGGTGACAACAACCAAAGTCACTGGATTTTTTTCAACAGCTCATCACAGACATTCTGATTCATGTACTCTGGAAAAGGAAGTCTTAACTCCTGTTATTTGGGAAAATTACTCATCTAAACCTATTATTTTTATGGCTATATCAGTGGATTTTGACCCAAACAAATTCTTGACACTTGGAAGTCTAACAGATATATTACCAAGAGTGCTTGCTATTCTTTTTCTCTCCAATGTGTTCTTGGATTAAATTTTAAAATTTTAAGAGGCTCTAAGCACAAACAAAGTATTCCAGGGCAAATAAAGAAATTAAATAATTCTCAGGGAGCTCTGGTGGCTTAGTGGCAAGAAGCTACACTGCAATCCCAGAGGTACACGGTTTGAATCCACCAGATGCTCTCCTGGAGAAGGAGTGACAATCTCCTCCTGTACCAGTCAGATGCAATTTGACAGTATACACTTAAAAAAAAATCTCTTGTACTTTACAAGTGTTGGTGGTGAAGAATGCAAGACAAGACTGCTAACCAACAGGTCAACAGTTCAAATCCAGACGCAGTTCCACAGGATAAACATGGACTGTAAATCCCTAAGCTTTGGAAACCCAATGAAGAGTCCCTACAAGTAGAAACAAACAAACAAAAAAAACCCCCACCACAACCAACCAAACAAACAAAAATCATAGTGGGTGAGACATACCACCCCTTTTCCAACTCTGGCAGCACTTAACTTGTAAAGGTCTACATTTCTAACATTCTCATGTCTATGAACTCAATCTAATCCCTGCAGGGCCAGCAAAGTGTTACTTTCTGTTGTGTCCAAGTTATTCCTGCCTGAGTTTCATCCATCACAGGATCTAAAAGAGCTTTTTGCCTTTTAACTATTTGCACTGTTCTCAAGTTTTCATTTCAGAACCCAAATAAGATTTTATAGACATGGATTATGGTTATCTATATAAATTTACTGTACTAGAAAGCATAGCTAAGAATTAAAAATAAAAACAAAATTAACTAGCAATTCATTATAACATTAACATCTATATTTTTTATAAAAATAGAAAAGGTAGAAAGAGAAATATTTTAATAACTTTTGCAGGTTAATTATTTTGCTATTATATATTAAACTTGAAAAGTGGTAATTTCTTGGTTTGCAATGCAGTTATCTGAAACTATCAGCAAGCTTTTGGTATTTTCTCACTGAAGCTTTTTACTAAAGTCCAAGTGGCAGACAGAAATTTCTCAAATTATCACTTTTGTATGAAACTGAGTTACTTTTAGCATTGGCAATAGGCTGACATCAGAACTGAGGACAGAGACATCACACAGGGACCTGCCATCAGCAGGTAGCTACCTAGCTGAGACCAGAGGCTCATGGGCCTTGCTAGGCATCATCAGTCCTTGGAAGGAAATTTCCAGTGACTGCAGTCTTTCTTTGCTATTCATAGTGGGCTCTGAGGATCAGGAATGGCCACAATGCAAACACTTCAGCAAGTGAAAGGAAAGGAGGCAGGCCTGCAGATCGAGTTCAATCTGAAGACTAAATAATTAGTTATGTCTACACCACAAAAACCCTAACAAAAACTCCATGCACCAAAGTGTCAAGAGGGTGACAAACCCTGTGCCCACAAGCAGGGTAGCATTGTCCAAAAACTTACAACTGGGACCAACTACTGTCTCTCTCTGGCCAGAATAAAGAGGAAAAGAAACAAATGCATAGACACTCTAAGTACAAAGAACTAATAGACCCTGCACGCCTGAACTCCCACAACGCAGAGCCTGATGAAGAACTGGACAGTGGCTGCTACCACTGCTCACTATTTCAAGAGGAATCACAGTCCAAAGTCCTTAATAGAGAGGAGAAAGTGTGGCATAAAATCTAAACCCACGAAATGGCCAGGTTTACTTGACAGATTGCTGGGATCTCAAATAATGTTGTCCCTTAGTCACTTTTTGAAACTGGGACAAAACTCACCACTATGGCTCAATTTTTAAGCACAGATGGGCCTATAAGGCAAACAAAAATCAAGGTGCTCTTTAAATTTCCACTGAAAAACAAAACATCAAAACCTCAAAACTCTCCACAATGTCAGATCTTGTGTCAAGGCCCCTTCAACGAATAGAATTTCATGTTGTCTTCCCAACAGGCTCCTGGATGTTCTTATTGGACTACGTTTAAAGACAAAGACTCAACATAGAGAACAATCTGCCCAAGGACACACTCAGTGAGGTGAAGGAGGGTCTCAGGTATTGACCTGAAAGCCTATTTCTCACTCTACATATATACAAATCCTCTTCAATTTCTCTTAGAAATGTTACCAAAGAATGTATTCTTATGAAAAAGGTGTGTGCACATTACATTGGACAGTAAGAGGGTATTATTCTGTGTTAGGTTAGCACCTCTAACATGCTCTGCAATCAGTTTTTAAACATTAAGCTCAAGACATACAAAAGGCTGGAAACAACCCAAATGCCCAGTAACAAATGAATGGATAGAGAAGCTGTGTTGTATTCACACAATGGAATACTATGCAGCATTGAAAAACAACTCATGAAATATTATACAAAATGGACGATCCTGGAAGACATGCTGAGTGAAATATCTCAGTCACAAAAAGACAAATATTGCATAATGTCACTGTTATAAAATAGGACTGACATGATTAGATATTGTTATGACATGAGTCCAGAACAAAGATAGCAGCATAGTAGAGTGGACCTGGAGGGAGGGACTGAATAATGAAAGAATTTTTTCTTTTACTTTTCAAAAAGAAAAGTGAATTGGGGGGAAGGGTGGGCAGGGAGAAAAGTGCAACAACGAATGAATGGAAATCCTGTCTCTGTAAACTTTCATGAAAAGCAATTTAAAATAAACACACACACACACACTAAAAAAAAAAAAAGAGACAGAAGGCCTATATTCTTCTCACCTGGTCTGCGCTCTCTGCCAGGTATCTGACCTGACTGTAGTAGCCCTTTCAGTCTCTCCACTTCAGCCAGTGTTGATGCATTTGCTATAGCATTCTAGAGGATAAAGTACAATGTAGATTAAATACCAGCAAATATTCACAGAAATTTTCTAAGTGTCCTAAAAGCTGAGCTAATTTAATTACTTATATGTCTTTTAACACTGGAAAACCTAGGAGTCCAGATTATAAATTGGGATTTTTTTTCTGCTGATCACCTAAGAGGCTCTGCCAGACAAGAGAATATCTGAAATAAAAACGGCAAACACCTGAGACAGCACATCAAAGGGACAAAGTGACTGGAGTGCTCAGTGCTAAAGGCATCCTGGGCCAAGAGACCAGGACTCTGTTGCTTTGATCACATGGCAACTAGGTTTCATTCAAGTCAAAGCCTAATTAAACAGGAACTTTAAGCCCATTCTTCTTAACAAAAGTACAGCTAGATTCTGATAGCTGGGCAAAACAGAATCTACAATGCTCAGAACTTGTCTTTACATGTGTCCTAATTCCATCTCAGCTTTCTTTTCTTTAGTCCAAGACTTTTAACATTTACCTTAATTGCTTCTACATCCCCTGGAGATGGCCCCCCTTTCTTCTTATCAATTGGCAAACCAGCACCTGGATTAAAACTTGTGAGAGGGAAAACATAAGTGTTAAATCTAGATCACAGAAAATGCTTCTCTTTTACTTTCAAAAGGTTTTGAAAGTAATTCAACCAGTGTAGTATCTTATCTTTGTTAACAAACTGATACAAGAACTCTCCTTCAGAAACACTATCCAGTTCATTTTTCTATATAGATAGCATCACAAATGTATACAGCATCACATTAGGATTGAATATGGAAATACTCGCTTTGTTTACTTGGAACTTTCATGGACATACAGAACACTGATGTTCTATACACAGACCACCAACATCCAAATTTAGTATCCCCTAAGTCATAGCTGTTTTGATTAATTTTGTAGGAGGCAAACTGCCAAACAGTGTTTCTGAAGGTAAAGTGAAGTTAAGTTGGATCTGTATCTTACGTTTTGCTTCTCCTGGCAATATCCTTTGCAAGTTGTGCACCCCGTTTGCCCTTGAACATTTTCTCTGCTTCCTGACGCTCCTACAGTGACACCACACACAGAATTAATTGAACAGGAATAGTATTCCTCAGAAAACACGGAGAAAACTCCCTTTAAGTACTCTCTGAGATCATTAAAATACCAAGAGCCAATTCCAAATTAGAAGACACATTTGTCTTGCTTTTTCTGTTGAAGCTCCCTGAAGTCCTCTCTCCTGATTCCAAGGAAGGGCTCCTCCTAAAGGAATTACTGGTGTTAGCTGCAATCAAACTGACTCAGTGACCCTCTGAACAACAGATCTGAACCCTGCCCAATCCTGTGCCACAGGAACCAAGAAGGCCGGAGAAAAACAACAACTTCCCCAAGAGAGGAAGTCATTTTAACAATTGGAAGCGCTCAAACATATAGTATTAAGCTCTCATCAGAGATACACCTGAGTAATCCGTTAACAGTGCTCTGATACCTTGCTGTCTTGGGAAGACCAACACCACATGCAAAATCCCCTCATAAATTCTGCTAGGAACACACACACATACACAAGTATTAAAAAAATCAGTACAAAACCATAAAGGAAAACACACATCTCTGTAATGGTTCCCAGCCAATCAAATATTACTAGTACTTACTTTTAGTTTTACTTTCTGGAAATCCAGTACTCTGACTTGTGGGACTTTATAAATGACATACAGCCTGTAATGCTTCTTATTTGTTACAGGGTTTCTGAGAATACTACAAGAAAAGGAACATTATAATACTAATATTGTTCATAGTAGCACCTAAGGCCTATTTTTAAGAAAGTGTAAGAAATCTGTAAATCAGGGAAAATCTCGCTTCTCTTCACATTTTTCAAGTTAATTAATGTAGCTTGTTCAAAACAAAATTTTAACTCATTGCTGTCTAATTAGAATCAACTAACTGGAAAACCCTCCAGTGGGTTTTCAGAGGCTGTGAATCACATGTAAGAGAGTGTCCATCTTTCTCTTGCAGAGCAGCTGATGGATTCAAACAGCCAAAGACGCAGGTTTTGGGTTAGTGTATCAGTCCTCTACAGACTATACCACCAGTTAGGTGAAATTGAGTTATTCTGACTCATAGTAATTCCTCTATGCTTAATCACTGTGAACAGAGATAACTAGGTCTTTATTCTGTGGAGCTATAGATGGATTTGAACAGCCAATCTTTCAGTGATCAGGCAAGTGCTTAACTTGCTATTTATGGATACTTAAGTAACACTAAGGAAATATTAAAGAGCACAGGGGCCTCAAGTTCATTTCCAACTTCATTAGTTTTGCCATTACAATAAATAAATTACAAACCTTAAGTAAGTCAGTGATTTCAGAGATGCCAAAGGATCCAGATCACCCTGTAAAAGAATCACCATACATAAGAATGTGACTATGTGCATTACTTTGCTATTTTGAAAAAGTAGGTCCCTCTGAAGCCATACCCCATCTTGCTTTTATTTTACTGTTGCAGGACCTAGCAAGCTACTAGTATATTCAAGATGCCAAATAAACTGGTAAATAAATTTGAGTTTCTTAAAATCCTTGGCATCCACAAGAGAGAATCAGAATAATTGTTTGCCTGTGGTAATCTCCAAAGGGCTACTATAAAGCAGTGCTTTAAAAGAGAGTGCAATGTCAAAATTGATATGACTAACAGCATGCTATGCACACAGAAACCACGAATCAAGAATAAACAGTTCCAAACTGTGACAGTAAATTAAAATCCATTCCGATTCAGCAGCCTCATGAGGGCAAGGACAGAACTGTGCAGCCTCCAATAGCTGGTTTTCAGATGGACAACCAGAGTTTTCCTTTAAGGCCTCTATGACTGGACTCAAACCAGAAACTCTCTGATTAACAGCAAGTTAAAAAGCCCATTTTGGGATACTTCAAAAGGCTCCCACAGACACCTCACCCTCTAGCTCTCACAAATAAAGTTCATAAATTCCAAAGTAGGGGGAGGAGAAGACTACCACAGGGAGTTCTAGAGTGCACATTAAAGGAAACAAAAAGCAAAACCAAGCCTACTCCATCATGCCAATTCCCATTCATAGTGACCAGTGACTTCCTACTGGGTCTCCTGGCTGTGCAGCTTTACAGGGAAGTCTGCTTATCTCTCTCCCAGAATGGCTAGTGGATTCAAACTGCAGATCTTTTGGTTAGCAGTCCCCAAGGTAATCAAAAGGAGGCTCAAAGAGAAGCACGTATGAAAAGTGGCAATTTTGTTACAGACTCTATATAACTATATAACATAATGACACTGTTCTGTTGATTTTGAAAAAGAATAAACAGTAACAAGTGGCAGGGAATTGTTGTACTGTGCCTTCTAGTCAAAAGAACTAACCCATAGCTGACCCTCAAGCAAGTTCTCAAAGACAGTGAATAGCAGAGGAAGGGATTGTCCAGCCTCGTTTGGAGAAGCTGGTGGATTCAAACTGTGTACCTTTTGGATCGCAGTGCAGCTTCTTACCACTAGACCACCAGAGCTCCCTGAATTTCTTGGGAATAAAGTTAGCAGTCAGCTCTTATCTGACATGTTTGCTTTATTACTATCAGGTAAAACAGACATCAGGCTAAAGAATCATTACTATAAAGAAGGTGCTGTAATACAAGGTTTAGCTTACCAAGGAGATAGTATGTAAAAATAAAATAAAATAGTATCAAAATATATAAAAGTAAGATTGTCAGTACTCAATGACCATCACAATGTGAGGCTTTCACACAGTTCCTTCATCTTTGCAAACAGCTGTAAATACAACTCTAATTTCTCTACAGCCCCAATCACACATCTCTTTTCTAAGAAGGTGCACTGCAAGTTGGATACCTGACATGTTTTACTTTAAGGTAGTTTATCCTTGGGAAAGGGGTGTGCTCTCTGTGCTTGACTGAAGAAGACAGCCATGGTGGGCAGCCTTGTGTGATGCTTCCTCAAAACATGTCAAAAAGGGTTCGGCCTCTGAGCAGGATTTTCATACATTTGGAGGCTGGCTCCTTTGTGAAAATCTCAGGGAGACTAAAGACTCAGTTAATACGAAAAGAAATGCACATTTCATCCTCAATAATCAGGGGATCACGGAAAAGCAGTAAAGCTTCTAATAATCCAATACCAAATCACAAAAAACCTAATCAAAATGTAAATGGAAAAACAAACAGGTTATGGAACACATGTCGCTTGCGACTCATAGCAACCCTATGTACAACAGCCCTGAACTCTGTTCTGTCCTCTGACAAACGCACTGTCTCCGATACACCCATCCCAATTACCCCAGTCACTGAATCAATCTACCTCATAGAGGGCCTTCCTCTCCAGCTCTGTCCCTCCACCCTCCCAAGCATGATGTCCCTCTCCGAGGACCGGTCTCTCCTCACAACATGTCCAAAGTATGTCAGACGAAGCCTCAGAATCCTTGCCTCCAAGGAGCTGCCCGGTTTAACCCTCTCCAGGATGAACTTGTTTTCTTAGCAGTCCATGGTACATTCAATACTTTTCTCCAGCACCATAGCTCAAAGGCATCAATTCTCCTTCTATCCTCCTTGGTTATTGTCCAACTCTCTGATGCATAACAAGTGATTACGAAGACCATGGCCTGTATCAGACGCACCTTAATCTCCAGAGAGACACCGTTGCTCTTCAGTCCTTTGGAGAGGTCCCTAACAGCAGACTTTCCCATCGCAATGCATCTTTTAATTTCTTGACTCCTGGTGCCAAGAGAGCTGACTGTAGAGCCAAGCAGACTAAAGCTGTGAACAATCTTAATCTCTTCACCATCCATCCTGATGCTGCCAATTGATACACCTCCCAGTGAGCGGCCAGTATGGGTTACGTGGAAGGATCCGTTGGATCAAGTAACGGGGATCCTTTACTAACCGTTGGGGGAGAGAGGTTTTGTTTGTATTTTCCCACAAAACAAACTACATCTTGTGTGCATTTCTGCTCGTCGTATCTGATTCTAACCTGCCTACCGAGAAGATGCATCGATTGAGCATCCACAACAAGAAAAGGCAGTGGAAAAGAAAGTCAAAGCCCCAGACGTCTCAGACATCTGTGACATGCTGAAGGCATTCAACTAACAGCTCTTGACCTTAACCTTGGGAGTAGTAAACCCAGTGGTCCTGTGTTTATAACACTGCTTATCACTGCTTTGACCATCAATAGTGCCACAGCAGCAGAAGCTAATCAGTTGTCATTACAAGAGCAGCAGCAGACCTCTTCACAAGACAGAATGCCCGAGCACCTGCACTGAATGGTCTTTCTACTCTTAGCGTCATTGGACTGTCCTCCTCCCAAGAAACATCTGGAGCCCTACACCAGAGGCTCTCCCCTCTTTGGGCTCATTTAAATGAAAAAGGGAGATGTTGCAGAAGGTTGGGTAGGAAGGAAGGGTCTCTGGCCAGGATGGATCGCCTAAGCTCCAGATAAGTGCCAGCCTCCCAATGGCCTTTAATATGGGGTAGAGAAAGCTCCCCTGTATTTGGCCGTACCAGCTTGAGAAAGCTCGCCACCTGGGAACACGGCTGCCGCATCTGCTGAGCTGGGAGTTGTCCGCAAGAGGCGGAGGTTCTCCTAACCAATCCACATATCCCACGTCTGTAAGCCCAACCTATCTGCTCTTCCTGTGTATATAAGTGCTGTGCAGTCCAAATAAAATTGAGCTGGATTGACAAAAAAAAAAAAAAGTCTTCTTGACATTGAGCCTCAATCCATATTCAAGGCTGCAGTCCTTCACCCTCTGCAGCAAGCACTTCAGATCCTCCTCAGTTTCAGCAAGCAGGGTAGTGTTATCTGCATAACGCAGATTGTTGATAGTTCTTCCACCAATCCTGATGCCGCATTTCTCAGCATAGAACCCAGCCTCCCAGATGATCTGTTCTGCATACAGGTTGGAAAGGTATGGAGACAGGACACATCCCTGGCATACACCCTTCCCAATTCTGAACCATGCAGTGTTTCCTTGCTCTCTTCTGACAGCTCCCTCTTGGTTCAAGTATAGGTTTCACATTAGAACG